TCAGAATAGCTAAAACAAACAGTGATAAAGTCAGATGCCAGAGAAGATAAAGATGCAATAATGTACACTTTGCCAATTGGAATGTAAAATGGTACAGCCACTCTAGAAAACAATTTATTATACTCATTATAAAAAATAATAATAATAACTGAAACGCTTCTACCATGTGACCAGGAATTGAGCATTTTGGGAAGAATTAAAATCATACACCATGGCCTATATACTAATGTTTATATCAGCACTATTTTTAATACCTGTAAACTAACTGGAAATGACTCAAGTGTCCTTCTACAGGTGGATGGTTAAATAAAGTGTGGTGATCCAGACCATGGAATACTACTAGCAGTAAAACAGGAACATGATACTAACATACAAAACAACCTGGAGAATCTCTGGAGATGTCTGAGTGAAAAGAATTCTAATCCTTAAAAGTTACATACTGCATGGTTCCATTTATCAATATTTTTAAATGACCAAATTATAGAATTCAGAGAGGTTGAGGAGATGAGGTGGAAGTGAAGATAGGAGACAAGGCATTGTGAAAATAAACGTGCAGCAGTAGCGATTCTTGGTGTGGAGGGAATCTCTTCTGTAGTTTGACAATATCAGCATCAACAACCTAGTTGTGTTATTGTGCTACAGTTTTGCAAGGTCATATCATTTGGTTAAACTGAGTAGAGGTACCAAGGAATCTCTCTATGTTGTCACTTACAACTACACAGGAATTTCTTAGAATAAAAAAGTGCAATTAAAAATGTGTACATTACAAGCCCAAGAGATTAAATTGTACATCAAAAGTTATGTAGCTCCTAACCCACAGATGCCATAAAAAAAGGGAAGAAAAAAATGAAATCATAAAAATTCAGTTAATAAAAAAATCTAGCAGAAACATAAGAGAAAGGGGAAAGAGAACAAATTAAATAAACAGAAAAAATAGCAAGATGAATGACTCAACATTAATTAATATATTATAACAATATTATAACAATAATTATACTAAATTGGTCTAACACCTATTTAAAAGACAGAAATTGACAGATTGAATGTAAAAAGTGAGATACATTATTACATGTTACTTTCACAGCATAAGCTTCAAACATAAAAATACAAATGGATTAAATTTGACAAGATGCAAAATATTTATGTACCATTGGAGATAAATAGATTAATAGGAACAGAACCGGAAATCAATCCACACTACAGGGACAATTAATTTTTCACAAATATGCAAGTTTACATACATTTGCATTTGCATTTGGAAAAGAAAGGATAATTTCTTAGACAAATAATGCTGAAAATATTGAATATCCATATAAAGAAAAGGAATAGATTCTTACTAAGTAGGTGTGATAGTAAATTTTGTCAATTTAGCTGAGGCATGAGATGCCTAGATTAGTTAAACATTATTTCTGGGTGTGTCTGTGAGAATGTTTCTGGATGAAATTAGCATCTCAATTGATAAATTTAGTGAAACAGATTGCCCTCTTTAATATGAGTAGACATCATCCAGTCCATTAAGGGCCTGCATATAATAACAAATGGTACAGGGAGGAAGAATTCACTCTTTGTGACTGCTTGGGTGGAATGTTAACCTTCTTGGATTGGGACTTATATCGTAAGTGCTCCTAGTTCCTAGCCCTTTGGACTTGGACCCAAACTTACATCATTGTTGTTGTTGTATCTCCGGTTTCAGACTCAAACTGGAACTACATCCCTGGCTTCCATGTGACCCCAGCTTGCAGATGGCAGATAGTGGTACTTACCAGTTTTAATATAAAATAAGAGATCGGCTCACACACTTATTTTATATATGTCTCTTCTTATATAGTTTCTTTCCCTCCCCATGATTTTTGATGATTCATCCATGTTCTGTGTATCAATACTTCATTTGTTTTTTATTGAGTATATTCCATTGAACATATCAATTTTTTTCAAATCCATTTACCTGTTGACAGTTATTTAGACTATTTTCCGTTTTGGTCTATTAAAAATAAGCTACTACAGGGTTGGGGTTGTGGCTTGATTAAAATTGACAAGATGAAAAATATTTATGTGCCATTGGAGATAAATAAATCAATAGGAACAGAACCAGAAATAATCAATCCACAGTTATTTTATATAAATATATATAATTTGTTATATTGTTTTTATTTCTTTCTGGAGAACCTTGACTGCTATACTACCGTGAATGAAAATTAACTCCAAGTGGATCATATACATATTTGTAAGACCCAAAACAAGGACATTATGAAAGAAAACATCAGAAAAAAATACCATGACCCTAGGTTAGGCATATTTAAAACTTTTTAGACATGATATGAAAAGCATGATTTATAGAGATAAAATTGATAACTTGTACTTCATCAAAATTTAAAACTTCTAAAAGACAGTATTAAAATAGTGAAAAGAAAAAGCTAAAATCAGAAGAAAGTACTTATAAAATAAAAAAAAAAAAACCTCTCAATACCAGGAAATAAGAAATCAATATAATATCAAAAAGGAAGATTTGATATCACTTCACCAAACAAGATAAATAGCAAATAGATACATTAAAAGATGCTCAAAATCTTTTATTTTTTTTAAACTAATGTAATTTTTTTTACTTTAGTTATTTCAACATCTTTAATCATGAGTAAATATAAATAAAAATTGCCATGATAAACTATTGCATGCCAATAAATGAAGACTGGATTAAATAGTGATCATATCAAGTATTAACAAAGACATGGGAGAACTTCAGCTCTCCAGTTGTGTTCATGGTTGTTGGGAATGTAAATTGGTGCAACTACTTTGAGAGACAATTTCACAGTTTCATAAAAGTTAACCCCGTATCTACCATATTAATCAACCATACCATTTTGAATATTTACCCAATAGAAATGAATGTGTGTATCCATACCTTGTATACATATATTTATAGTAACTTATTTTTTTAAAGTACTTTTAGTTATAGATGGACACAACACCTTTATTTATTTATTTTTTATGTGGTGCTAAGGATGGAACTCAGTGCCTCACATGTGCTAGGCAAGCACTCTACCACTGAACCACAACCCCAGCCCTATAGTAGCTTATTTTTAATAGACCAAAATGGAAAACAGTCTAAATGTCAGTCAATAGGTAAATGGATTTTAAAAAAATGGTATGTTCAATGGAATATACTCAATAAAAAAATGAATGAAGTATTGATACACAGAACATGGATGAATCTTCAAAAATCATGGGAAGGGAAAGAAACTATATAAGAAGAGATATACATTATGTAAAATTCTATGAAACACAAATAGTATATGGTGACGGAAACTAAACCCCTGGTTGTCTGAGGGGGATGGGACAAAAAGGAGAGATTACATACATCATAACAAATCTTTTGGAGGTATTGGATACATTTATTATCTTTACTAGGTATACATTTCATAAGTATATACACATGACAAAACTTATCAATTTGTACATTTTATACATGAGCAATGCATCATGTCATATATAACTCAGTAAAACTAAAATTGCTTTATAAATAAATAAATATAAATATATATATTTTCCTATCTTAAAGTATATATATATATATATATATATATACTCTCCTATCTTAAACTATACTGGTAGAGATTATTCATGTAAGCAGTTATAAAGTAAAAAGTCTTATTGATATGTCTGTCAGCCTTAAGAAAATATTTTATACTATTTAACATGGGCACTTCTTTAGCCCCCATGATATTAGACAAAGAAAGTAGGAACTAGGAAATTTATTTCACTATTTTAAAACCTTGTCAGCATCCAAGGTGGAAGCAGTATGCTCTCAAGAGTACCTTAGAACAGCTTTCACAGTTTCCAGGATATGGTCCCCTGGTTATGTTACATTAACATGTTCAGGTGTCATTTAGTTCTATTATTTTCGCCTCTTCTTACCTTCTTTGAATGCATAGTTCATTTTTTTTTACTTGTTTAATTTCTTTTTGTTTAAGATAGTATTTTTTTTTCTATTTTACTTCACAAATGACTTTTGCCATGAAACCTTACAGCCTATAATAAATAAAATCGGTAATCAATGGAAAGATAAAGATTTCAATGTTTTTATCTTCATGAGAATTCATAACATTTCATGAAAACCGTATGCACTTGTGTTTCTGATGCCTAAAATCACTTTTCAGGTACCCAGAATAGAATTTGAAATCTTTATGAGCACTTCTTATTCAGCATCTAGTGGCCCTTCAAAAAAATTATGTTACATGATACAAATAATAATATACTGAATAAATTCCGTTCGGTATAAAGGAGAACAGAAATGGACAGTTTTAACTGGCAATTTTAAAACATAGCCCCCCAAATTTTTGGCACTTCTCCCATCATAAAAAAGACATAAGATTAAAAACCCCTGTTTGTATTTTAAACTCTATACCTCCTCATGGGTAAGCCTGAAATTTTGAATATTCTTTTAAAATTATTTTTTGCATGTACTAATATCAAGGTAGATATAGTCATAAAAATCTTGTATTTTAGTTCTATTCTTTTCTCCCCCTCTTACGCTCTGTGTGTGTTTTTCATTTTTTTCTCTCTTCTTGTTCATGTATTTTTTAAAGATAATATCTTTCTTCTTTTTTTTGTGATGTTATTTGATACAATTGAAGCATAAATACTTATTTTCTTAGTGGAGCCAACCGTTGGACTGGGAAAGTTCTTGGTCTAGTCCTTACCTTGGAACCGTCACCTCTCTTCCCTCTAGAATTCAAATAGATGCCTGTGTTTTGCTCAGTTTTGTATTTTATGAAAAATACAACATTGCTGTTCAAACATTAGTGAGTAGACCTCTGCAACATGGAGTAAGTGGGGGTAGGCTGGGGCATGGGGATTGGAGATAAGGCAAAGCTATCTGATGCAGATCTCCTTTAAGAAGCCAATGTCTTTAAAAGCATTTAAACAATCTTAGGAACACAGTAAGTTTTGACACTTTTTTTTTTTTTTGCTTTATTTACCCTTGATTTTGGTGTGCTTTGCAGCTGCTGAAGGAATGGTGTGCAATCATCTATGTTCCAAGGATGGCTGTTGGGGTCCTGGGCCCGACCAGTGTCTTTCATGCCGACGCTTCAGCAGGGGAAGGATATGCATAGAGTCCTGTAACCTCTATGATGGGTAAGGAATTGCATACTGTCCCTTTTACCGCCTCAGCAGTGAGACACTGATTAGCTCAGATTTTTAAGATTTAAGAAAATGGAAAAATTTCAAAATGTGTGAAGAGATCATCAGGATTTTTCAGAAGACTTCATACTACAAAAGGGAGATAACAAACACATTTTAAGGCAAAATGGTTTTGTTTCAAATAACAAGTCCAAATATTTATATGTTGAATAGTATGTACATTTTAGAAATGTTTACTAAGGTAGATAATTCTTAATAAATTATAACAAAAAAGCACAGTTTGGAAAAATAAAAATCATTTTTTTAAGAGGGAAATTTTTATAAAGTTTCAGGTCTCAGCAATCTGTTTTACTTCTGATATTTTCCAGTTACTTTTCATCCACAGTCACTGCATAACTTTTGATTTTTTTCCATTCCAGTTACATACTTATTTGCATTTTAGGAAGAGTCCATGTTCCTATGTCATTGACAACTATTTAACCCTATTTTTGTAATGTCTAGTTGGAGAGGTTTCTGAAAGTGTTCTGCCACTCTCTAGAAAACTTGAGCAACATTTTAAACTGAGTATTTTCAATTCATTCTGGTAGTGCAATAATCACATTACTAGTAATAAAACCCTAGTATATACTACATTGCCTGGCATTTCATACACTCATAAAACCACTTTATCATAAAATACCATTTTATGCATCATAGTTGTCCTTCATCAGTGTGGTAATGCATTTCTTAGCACTCTCTAAGTCAAGTTTCCCCATATTCTTCAAATGAAAATGTTTTCAACAGTTTTGTAAAATACAGCTTTGAAGCTCTTCATTTCTTCTTGTGCCTCATGAATTATCTCATTTTAACAACTATTTTCATGATACCTGATAACACTATAGTTTTGCCTTGTGTATCAACAGGATAAAACTCTATTTATCATAACATTATTATAATGATATTGATATGTTTCTTCTTTGAAAGATGACCCAAGCATATTCACTTCACAAAATTTAGAAGAAAAAGATAAAGCTTAGAATTTTAAATATAAATAACTTATATTTTTTAAAAAACAATTACATAAGAACATAATTATTTTTTAAATGTTTTAGTTATGGATGGACACAATATCTTTATTTTGTTTATTTATTTTTATGTGGTGCTGAGGGTAGAACCCAGTGTCTTACATGTGCTAGGCAAGCCCTCTGCCACTAAGCCACAACCCCAGTCCAAGAATGTAATTATTTTTCAGGAAAATTTCAGCTTGTAATTTTGTGAGGTACAATAACCTGGTGAATTTGATAGTGAATTGAAAAGTATGTGCTACTTGTCTAATTTAATTGTGTTCATGCTTATACAGATTGTTATGAAAGTGTATTTTCTGTACATAAAATACCTTGGATGAAATATACCTGTTTGTGCAGCAGTTGGTGTCTCTAAAATTACTCATAAAAGTCATTAGTTCCACTAAGTGAATGTTATATTAAGTGTTTATTAAATTTATAGGTGTAGTTCTAAGCAGGAAATATATTCTAGAAATCATTTTATCCAATAGAACAATCTTATAAATAATAAGGAACAGTATAATTAACTACTTACTAAAATCATAACACTGTAGAAGAACCAAGCTAGCGCTAGAAGTAGTAACACTTGATTTATCCTGTTTCCTTTCCAGAATAATGCTGTTTTTCTTATATATTTCAATTTCAACCTTGTCAGAAATATTAAATGTATAAATATGTGCTTATGTGTGTATGTATATATACATATATGCACACACATAATATAATATAATATATATATATATATAATATAATATATATATAAATTTGCTACATTCTACAAAACAGTAAATGGAAAACAAATAAGAAATCAAAAAAAATGCAGGGTATCTAAGCACTGATGAAGAGATCAATTTTGATATTTAACATTTTTCATATTTACATCATTTTAATTTTCATATTTACATTAATTCAAATCTTGGCTATACAATGAAGGATTCCCTCTTCCCATCTTGTGACATTGGCTGGTTTCTGTCAACATTGCGTGGTTGCCTGGGTAGTTAAGGCCTTTGAGGAAGAATGAATTCAAATCTTAACTTCATTTCTTCCTAATTGAAATGTTCAACTTTTGACAAACACCCTAATCATTCTAAACTTGGATTTGTTTCCTTCTTCCCTCCCTCCTCACTTCCTTTTTGAAATGGGGTCTCATTGTGTTACACAGGCTGGTCTTGAACTCCTGGTCTCAAGTGATCCCCCTGCTCAGACTCCAAAGTAGCTGGGACTACAAGCACTCACTATTGCACTTGGCTAAACTTGTTTTCTTATATGAAAAATAGGAATAACAATGGAATAAGGTCTTAAGTTCCAGCAATAGAAATTATTGTCATAATTTCCTTTTGTGTCTATTATTCTGAGCTGTTTAAATGGTTCAGAGAAATAGTCATGTTAAAAACTGCTGAAAATAATCAAATGCAATTCACATTTACCAAAATTATTGGGAGAGCATACACACACACACACACATGAATGCACACACATGCAGTGTGTGCATGTGTGTTTGTGTGTGTATTAGAAGAGAACAAATCCTCAAAAGAGAATTTTTTTGAAGGGAGAAAGAAAAAAATAATCAATTCCTGGCTGATGAGTATTCAAATATGGGTCATATCACTAACTGTATTTCTGTATTTCTTAACTATAATGCATAATCAATTTAGAATGAAAGAAAAAAGATAATTGCAATGGAACCTTAAAACCTCCTGCCTACCTGGACACAGGGGCACACATCTGTTATCCCAGTGACTCAGGAGTGTGAAGCAGGAGGACTGCAAATTCAAGGCCAGCCTTGCTCATTGAGCAAGATCCTCAGCAACTTACAAGTCCTTGTGTCAAAATTAAAAAATAAAAACCCTGGGAAGATAGCTCAGTGGTAAAATGTCCTTGGGTTCAATCCCTTGTACCAAAAAGTAAAAAAAAAAAAAATAATAATAAAATTAAAACCTTTCTGTCAACTCTTCTGAAACTTTCAGATGAACACAGAAACATTAACGATTGTACCAGTCTAAAAATCTTTGCAGGCATTTTTATTTTTAAGAATCACAACCCCTCATTGAAACAATATGTTTCTCCTTTACAGAAGATATTTAGGAAATTAAACTTAGAAAAGTTGAAGTATTTAAGTCCTAGAAATATCACTGTTGATTGTGGGTTTTAGTTTTGGAAGACTAGCCACTTGTGATTACAGAATCGGTTGAGCTAACACACAAGTATTACAGCAAAAACAAGTGAAACAAACTTAGCATGCAAAGTTCATGCTCAACAGACTAATTTGTTAGGTCAAATTCAAGTGGAAGGGGAACTCTGGCAAAGTCACAGTAAAGTCACTAGGGGGCAGGGAAGGAAAAGAGCAACGGTGGCAACAGTAAAGGGTAGGATCCTTTAGGAAGGTAGAAAGGAAGAGAGCCACACAATTTTAAGTCTGTGGAAGAAAAAGCAACAGGTTGTCTCCATGATTTTTCTGACCTGCATCATCCTCTTCACCTCTCTGTGTGGACAAGTGGGTTCTGGAGTAGAAGAGTAAGAAAAGTATGGCCTCTGTTTGAGTAGCACAAAAATAATGTGTTTCATAACCGTTTAATTTCCAAAGAAATTATTATCCAAAACCAGTAATTAGCTAGTCCCTGGCTTTGAGCTGTCATAAAATTTTACTATACAGTGTTTTTCATCCTCTTTACAGTTTAACCACTCCCCCATACCAGGTCATATGGATCTTTGTATCCTGAATGTGTCCTCTGTTGAATACTTTATATCACTCCTGTTGATGAAGCATACAAAAGAAAACCTGTTTTTATAATTAAGAGTTTAAATTTAAGAAAATTCATAAAAGGTTTGATCTATAACAAACTAATATCTCATACTTAAAATGCAAAAAGCATGTAACTGCCTATGTACACACATAATTAAACCACCTATTTATGCTGTTCATTTTGAAAGCCAAACTAATTATTCTGCCTTGGAATACATAGAGTTGTAATATAACCAACAGAAAACATTGTTCAACCTTTGGACTTCTGTTATTTATGAAGGGTTTAAGTATTCAATTGGGAAAAATAATTCATCACTCTAGGAATAATATGTTTGAACTTGTCACCCAATCAATTGGTGGTTTGGAATGGTAGGTCAGGGAAAAAAGGCATGAAATAATCAATAAATTGGCTACACATATTAGTCAAATTTTGTTAATTACTCTAAATAACATTCAAAATTGTCCTTACCCGGTTCTTCAACCTCTTGTACATTAGTAGGAATGAGGTAGTTGGAACATATTATAGATGACTGATACCCAATTATGGAAATGAAACATTTAGAAGGGACTTTGGAAAATTTAGGTATTGATAACCATTTAATACACAAATAGTCCAAAAAAATTATGAATGCAAGAAGGATGACCATCATCCCAATAGATTTCAATTAGAAAGTTTTAGGATTTAACCATTAAACTATTTTTAAACATTTTATACCATAAAGAATTACTTCAAAAAGAATTGAGATTGAAAAAAATGTTGTGATATTAGATCAATAATCTAAGAAAATAAAATCCACCATAAAAGATATTTTTTTCTAATTCTCTAAGGCAGATATTTTGAAAGGAGAAAAGAAATCAAAGCGTTTTTTGAAGTTTCACCAAAAATAAATTGAAGACTCTTGGGATTTGAAGGACAAGGATAGGGAACACTTCATGTAACTTAGCAACAAGAAAAATACAATAGTTCTTTCAAAGTTTAGAAATTAAAGCTTCATCCAAGAGTAAACTTTTATATGGATACAAACAGGCATACCCTTATCTAAAAAGGTACAAAGCGTTTTGCTGCGTCATCAGAAGAGTTACTTTTTTTTTTTTTTTTTCTTTTGAGAGGGCTAGAATCTCTCTCACAGGAGAGGTTTCCAGAATGAGTCTTTCATTGAATCCAATAGAGGACAAGGAGAGCCATCTGGCTGCCGTTTATCTTTTCTCCTAATGGAGAACTTAGTCCTTAATGTACAGGGAAATGTTTCTGATGCTCCTGGCACATAGAGAAACAAACTCAAGAATTTACTCTGCCAATAGGACTTTTAGCAGATGTTAGTTCATTTTTTAAGTTGACAGCTTGTTTGCTTACACCTCCTCATGCAGCTGATATTTTCACAGTGAATTTCGGGAGTTCGAGAATGGCTCCATCTGCGTGGAGTGTGACTCCCAGTGTGAGAAGATGGAAGATGGCCTCCTCACATGCCATGGACCGGTAAGCCTGGAGGTGTTGTGGGTGTGCTGGCTGTGTAGTATCATGTGTGAATGTTCGTTCTATCATTGTCTTATCGTCTATCCATCCATTCAGTAGGTATCTATGGAATGCAATGGGGGAACATGTTTAATAGTTCACCTTTGAGAGGCTTACAGTTTTGGAGGAAGATAAAATGTGAGATAAAATATTTGAAAATACAATGGTATCAATATTTATCCCCCTGATAATGTATCTAAACAGAAGTATAGCCATGAAGTTGTCTTGGAAAATGGAACGTTGTTGAGAAGAATGCTACATGATAATTTGCTTGAAGTATAATCATTGATGTAATATAAACATTTGTAAGTTATAGAAGATGAGAAACTAATTATATCATCGGGCTGGATGTTGAGAACTTCAAGGAAGGTGCTAGTGAAGTGGTGTTTGACTCATGCTTTGAAGAAAAATTTGTAAGAAGGAAACGTAGAGATTTTTAAATGTGATTGTTCACGTCGTGTTCAGGAAAAAGTATAACACATTCATTTCTGTATTTACCCACTTGTCTATTATGGCAGTGTGAAGGATAGTAAAAAAAGAAGGAATAAAAGCATTATGATAAACAATATGGCAGAAAGAAGAACTGAGCTATGAGAATCCAAGGAGAAGCTATAGGATCAGGAAAGTCTTCATGGATGAGGTGCCATTTGTATAATTTGAAGTTATCTTTAGGGAGAAAATGATACTTATTTTTTAGACCTCCTTTTGGTTTCTATCATTTGGGCTTTTCCTTAATAATAAGATCAGTATGAGTTTGTCATCTCAAAGTGTCATATTCATCCTTCTTTAGAAAAATTTCCAGTTTATCTGTTATTGAATCATCTCTCAGTAGATAATTTGGGGACCAAATAATTTGGGTATAACTAAAAGCTCAACATTGCTCCATAATAATTTATTTAAAATTAAAAAGTATTAATTTTTCTACCAGAGTGCTTATTTAGCACACAATTAGCTTAGGAAAAGAAAATATCACTGAGCCCTCCACGCTTCCATTAGGCCCCAATGACCTGTTCTGGAAGTTCATCTAAAGAAGGATATGGAAAACGTGGACAGTTCAGAGGACTACTACAGAATGATTAAACTTGGAAAATCAGATCCCCGAGAGAAAGAAGTGATGTTATTTGGCTTGAAGAACCAAAGTCTAAAAGGCAATTTAATATGTAATGATCTCTATGTAAGTACGTAAAGGGCACATACAGCTATTTTCCTTCTCCACCATGAACAGGCATGGAAATATAGTCAATCCACAGCATGAGAAATGTGAATTCCTTAGGGAATGTCATGAGACATAAGGAAGTAAATTTCTGTAAAAGTTTACTAAAACAAGTTGAGTTATCAATGCTTGTTCTTTGAACTCTTATTTAGGTAAGTTCTAGATAATAATTCATAAAATGAAAACAGTCTCTTCAGAGACTCTGAAACTTTGAAAATAAACAGTCAAAATGATCAGGGATTTAGCCATCTCCTCTAATCAAGGCTGGGGATGATCAAATGACTCTGGGTCAGCAAACACCTTTTTAAAAAAGTTATGACAACGGCAAAACTATCTGCTATTTTATTTGTGAATCCTTATGGATGCTACTTCATTACACTGATATTTCCTATGGATTTATTAGTACTATTGTCTAACTGAACCTTTTTCTTGACACATAATTTTTGTTTTTTCTTTCCTTTATCCTTTTAATTCTGAAAAAAAAAAAAAAAACTCTAAGAAACATTTGTTCATTTAGTCAACAAACACTGTTTAAGAACTACTTTGTATCAGGTTCCATTAGCACACCAATTATGAGTTTTTAGATACTAACAAACTAAATATTAATGTGCAAAAATATTTCTCCAACATCAACAGAGGCATTATTTGCATATTTAAATATATTATTCTTACATTAGGCTTTTTTGCATATATTGCATTCTGTTTATTAAAAACATTGTATTTTTACCTTTCTTGTAATTTTTACCTTTAAAAAAATCACTCATTCCTAGTAATTAGTATTTTTAGTCCACCTAATTCCATAGACAGAAAACTAATTTGCTTAGAAGTAATGCAAACATAGTAAAAAGTATATTATATATTTTCTAGAGTAATTTCATAGGGAATTTCCCCTGTATAAATCTCTATAATAATCTGCTCCATAATATGATTATACTAGTTTTCAAGTATTGAAAAATTTTATGACCATTTTATCTATTAATCATAAGTCAAAATCATTATGATCATTATAAATCATATTAATGTTGAGTGTAATGGTGCATACCTATAATCCCAGCCACGAAGGAGGCTGATGCAAGATGATCACAAGTTCAGAGCCAGCCTCAACAATTCAGAGAGGCCCTAAACAACTTAGTAACACCCCCGTCTCAAAAGAAAAAAAGATATAGAACTGGGAATGTTGCTCATTTGTTAAGTGTCCCTGGGTCCAATCCCAGATACCTAAATAAATAAATAAATAATATTCATTTCCATGACTTAATGTTGAGTGCTCTTTGTGAGCTAGTTCTTTTGTAGAGTATTTTCACAAACTTTTTTTTTCATTTTTGTTTAGATATTGTTCCCATTTTGCCAATGAATAATCTTAGAACTGTTAAATGAATTGTCCATTATAGTAGATGTATGGATCACAATTGTAGCCTCCCACCTTAGGGCGTTTGACTGTCCCATGCTTTTACTGATCCTCATGCTGCCTCCTATTATACAAAATTATAGTAGTGAAGAACCGCTTTATTAATTTATCTTATTTTGTAGGTTTTTACAGTTTGTTGGTTATTTATTCTCCAATGGAATTTTGATAGTTTATAAATGTAAACATTAAGATAACCCCAAATTAATGCTCTTTGTATTGTCATAAATTACTTGACAGGAGGGAGTTAAAATAGTCTTATAACAAACACAATTTTTTTTTCCATAATGGCAGCATTTGTTGGGCCAGATAATTAATATTACTATTTAATTCTAAAATTATGAATTGACATATCAAAAGATAAGAGAAGGTGATCCATCAAAAAAAAAATAGAAAGTTCAGGAAGGCTAGATGAGGCATCTGTGGAGGATAAGAGCACTTAATTAAGACAGTCTGAGATCAGTAAGCCTTGCAGTTATTAGCACAGTACTTTTTAGAAAAATTGTAATGGCTGAGCTCAAGTAGTGGTTCAAATTTTGTGCCTACTTAGGATGGGGATTTGCTTGCTTTCAGCCTTTATAATTCATGTAAGGTTTTTCTTCATTTCTGAGTCCATACGTTGATTTCACAATTGGTGACAGTGATGGTTTTGTGTGCTAAGTAACAGGCATGGGTTATCCAACAGTTTCTGGAGGCTTCTCCATGAGCCTGACATTGATAGAGGAAGTCATCAATGCTATTTGGAAATCACACTGCTGCCCTTACAGTTTATTCTGGTGAAATCATATTTCTTTGACTTGTCAATATTTCCCTAATGAAAATAATATATGTAATGTACATTTATATTGATAAAACACTGTTAATCTGAAGCATGCTAGAACCTTCTTCATTTAAAATGAAAAGAAATTGAGCTTATAATGATAGAAAGTTTCTCCAAAAGATAGACTCTCAGGAGGATGAGGAGCTGCAACTCAGCTATAGAAGATCTGACCCCAAGTTTCTTGCACTTATCATTTCACTTTATTATTATTTTTTTCAGGCAACAATGTCTTTAGTATGATAAGAAGAAAAATGCTTTCTGGGAATATGCCAGTTTTATGTTAAACGGGATAGTATTATCCTGCCTAATTATGACAGAAATCTAGGATCATTGTGAGAGGAATAAATTTGAAATCAAAGATGTCCTTTGCTTTTCTATCTTTATCTGTCTGCTGTTGATCTTCATTATTTAAGTTAGTTGATTTATTTTCACAATTTCCCCCATTCTGTGTTACTTTCACTATTTCTGTATAGTTCTGTTAAGAAAGGTAAGAGAAGGAGTGAGAGAAGAACGAAAAGTTAGGAAAATCAGACAAAGTTTCAAGAGACCAAAATGTTGCCCAGAGGGGCAGCAATGGAAGAGAAAGGAGAAGGGAATGGAACTGATTTTCAAAATACATGTTTGTTTTATATAAAAGCTAGAGTGGCTCTTAAAGCTAGATTTTCTAAAAAGGATGTGCTGACACAATATGTAGCCCTCATGTTGCAATAGCTCTCAGAAAAAACATTGGCCCTTTCACATAGGGTACACGGATAATCTTTTAACTATTCAGAAGCAGCCCCCTCACTGTAGTGGCCTAGCATTGTAGCAGGCTTTGAAATCATGACACTTCTATTCAACATGGGGTCCCTGAGTCATGGCATCCTGGAAAGAGAAGTCTGGAGAGTTTAGCATATGAATTCAAATTCATGTGAATTCTACATAAAACTCCCTGTCCAAAATAAGCTATACCTTATCTCTATTAAGAGGGAACTTAGCATATTCATATGTGGCTCCAAGTAGAGCTACCAGAGAAAATAATCCTGAGAGTAAAATGCAATATTTCTATCAGGATTTGGCCTGATATTTAGTTGTATAATATATTACTGTGTCCAGAGGTAGCTTACAATCAGGAATTAAATATATTGCCTCCATTTTCTATTATTGCATTTATACATTCATTCTCTACACCTAGTTTTTAAAAATCCTTGGAAATACAAAGATAGAAGAGTAAACATCATATGTATGTATATTTTTCAGTCCTTTATTATGGAAATAAAATGGGAAATCAGTATGTTTAATTTCTTTTGAGATTTGTTAGAATAGATTTTTTAGTTATCTCAAGACATTTTGTTTTCTATCATAATAAAACAATCAAATACTTGAGATGCTTAAAGAACAAAGAACAAAATACAATTTACTTCAGTAAAATAATCTTGAATATTAAATAAGAACTTAACTGGTTTCCGTGTATTTTTTACATCTTCTGATATTGTCTGGATATTATTTTACATTACAAGAACTTAATAGAGAAATAATTCTTGATTCCTAATTCAGACTAAAACTGCCTAATTTACTCATAGAAAGTTTTATTCTGTGTTTTGCAAGAAGCATGTTTCTTATACCATAAGTCATGCCACTGAGCATACGTGCACAGTAAACCATTCCCTATAATAGATGGTATTATGTGCCTAAGTACCCATGAGCATGTGTTAAAATTGGAAGGGTGTAAAGTATTCTTTTTTGGGAGGAAATAAAAACTTAACATTAGCAAACTCTTTAGGTAGAATAGGAATTAGGTTTCATAGGCCAATTGTTCATATTTATTTATTTATTTATTTTTAAGTTTTGAACATCACATCAAAATAGTGAAATAGCTGCTTGATTAACCCTCACCAGTCTCAAGATTTCCCAGCCTTTCCCTGATTGCTTTTTCTTCATTAACATACTATGATTCTTCATTAGCAATTTCTGTCTTTAAATTTTTAAATCTTATATTTCTTATTTTCCTTGTGCATTATATCACCAACTGGCGAATTCTGCTTCTTTTTGGTTAATGTTTGTGGAGGTGGCATAACATACTCCCATGAACAGATTTCATCTCTACGGTCTGTCCTCAATAAACAGTCCTGCACAATATTGTGTTTATATTTTGACTTCCAAATTATTGTGTTTGTATCTACAATACTGATATAATTGTCTCCTTGGTAGTTATTGTATTCTGTTCATGTGCATTGTCTTCGGTGTGAGCTATCAAAATCGTTGTCCTCTTCTTTAGATATAGACAGATGTTGGGGAGAATAATTAAGGGGAGAAGTTCCAGGGAGGAGTGGTCAAAGAGATTCTATTATCTTATAATCTTAAGACAATATGGTGTTCAAAAAGGAGGATTAAAATTAAATTTCAAGTAGTAATATTCAAAATATGTACATGTACAAAATTATAGGTATTGTTTATGAAAAATAACATCTTTAAATTGAAATGTTCTCAATTATCTTTGATCTAAAATTAAACTACTTATTATTTTTATGTGTTTATTATCCACTATATGAGATACAAATTTTTCAATTGATCCACAAATTCTTAGATGTCTAACATTATTTTTTAAATGTTAATTATGTTGAACTTCAAATCTTTTTATTATTGTTTACTAATCTTAATGTGAGTTTTGGCCTTAGCACAAACTGATCTGAGATGAGAAATGACCTAAGAATTACTTTTATATGCCTAGCCTACCTAATTCCTAGTAATTCCATCATAATAAATTTTAAAATTTAATTTTCAAATGAAGTCCTTCTATAACCAAAAGACACTTTGCATTTCACTCTTCTATGTAAATCAGTGTTTCCTAATTTCTATTTTATCTTTTTTCTAACTATTTAGTAAGCCCATTCACATGTTTTTAGTGATGGTGACGAATTACCCCCATGGAAATGGGTTATTATAAAAATTGTTGCAATATAATATAACCAAGAATGGATCACAAGAGTAAAACACTGACATCCTTTTGAAAATGTCATTGAACCATTTTGCTGTTCAAATTAATTCACACTAGAGGCATGCCATGGATATCCTTTAACCCAGGGACTAATGGGTTTAAAAATGCAAATATTTCAAGCAAATGCATGTCCCTATAATATTTCCCCCCACACACCCAGGGTATCAAAGCTGAACTCAAACCTCTCTTAGTGCTATTTATACTACAAGAGCTACATCTCTATTTGTACTGCTGAAAATGTTCTCTCTAGAGGAAGAGTTATTTGACACCAAATAAACCACATGCTTATGTTTCAATGAAAAGGCACCCACTTTTCTTTGTATTCTTTTTCTTCTTTTCACATTCTAGGGACCTGACAACTGTACAAAATGTTCTCACTTTAAGGATGGTCCAAACTGTGTAGAGAAATGTCCAGATGGCTTACAGGGGGCAAACAGTTTCATTTTCAAGTATGCGGATCAGGATCGGGAGTGCCACCCATGCCATCCGAACTGCACCCAAGGGTAAGCATCCTTGCCAGTCAAGGGCTCCAACTTGTACGTGTTACTAGTCAGCAGGTGCCCTCATGCATCTCTATTCCTGATACAGTCTCCTAAACTCAGAATGTCATCATAAAACTCTGTTTGTCTTTAGAGAATTCCTTTCTAAGAGAGTCAAAGTTGTTTGTGCCCTCAGAAATATTTCTGCTTAACATTTACCTACAACCATTTTATTAACGCATTCAGGCCAGGAAGGTAGTGTTGGGTATAGTTTGGATATGGTATAGAAACTCCTTCAATTTTAACTGTAGATTCAAGATTCAGAAAAGATAAGTTAATAATCATACTTCTGAGATTTATGTTTAATAAATCTTTATCAGGTTTTCTGTTTCTTTGTTGTCATAGCTTAAAGTGAGGATATCTCTCTTTGATAAATACTACCTTGGATAACTCCTTCAATAAAATCCAAGCAAAGGTAGTAATGGCAGAAAAAAAGGAGACCTAGTGATATGAATATTAATAAAATAACTAGAATATTTTGTACAAGTAATTTTGTTGTTTGTTATCCTATAACCTAAAATTTCTTTGACTGTAATAGGATAATTTGAAGATGGTTACACACTTTTCTGTTTCAAAAGGTTGTATTGTACAATGTATAATGATCAGATTGCCTGTGATATGGGTAGCAGTGGAATAACAAAAACACATTAGAGAAAGAACACTCAACTATAAAAGAAGTAACATCACTCATCTAGAAAATCCCAAAACTATGTTTTCAAATTTACCTTAGTAAGGATTTTTCTTTTTTTTCCCCTCCAGAAAGTGCATAATGTTAGAATTGAGAGCAATTTCACATACTCTATCCTCCTCCTGTCCATAAACCCTCTTCTCCATTATGAATATCCAGAAGGCTGTGTGTGTGCGCACGCACGCACACACACACACACACAAACACTCACACACACACACTTGCTGAGAGTCATCTTGGGTACTTTCTATCTGGGAGGAAAGTGTGAAGTTCCATAAAAAGATTTTCTGCCAGATTAAGGCCTAGCTGTTAGAGGATATTGAAGAAGTTAAGCAAGCAACATCATTTTCTGCCAAGAAAACATCAATTTGCAGATGCTGCTACAATTTCCTAAAGGTCAAGAAATCAGCTTAAGTCACTCTGTGAAGTGGCAGATCCTCAAAAGGTAAAGTAATATTCTGCCATTCAAGTTTAAATTCAGTTTGGAAGAGCTAACTACCAACTCATTGGTTTATACATAAGCAAGTACATTGAGGATGCTGAAATAGTCACATAGACATTTTGCTTCAAGGAAACTAGAAGTAATAAACTGTTCTGCTTGTGGGGTTTTGGCACACCTGAGTTAAGAGTATTTCATTAAAAACAAAACAAAACAAAAAACAACTGGTACTGCTGGAGCAGAAGAGTCAGCAACTGGAAGAGAAAAGTTTGCCTGCTAAAATCATCCACAAGAGGGTTTTATTGTTTTGCAGCTAAAATTAAACCAGTAAATTATTCAATATAATATTGATGTCAACAGCTGTTGCCATTCAAAATGAGACCTTTTGCGGTTTTTGCAAATCTAATTACAATGCAGCCATTAGGGAAATGCAAGTAGAGATCACAGAGCCATAGTCTGGATGTGTGGCTGGTGTGTCTTCCTCTCCACCCTTTTAAATCATGATTATATAATAAAGGAAATCATACATAGTGGAGGGAAACAGAAGTAGGGAGCAATAGAAAACGATCAAATTACCATAGCAGCAAATTTTGGATCTCAGCAAAAAGGGAATATGAAGGTGTAATAAGGAACAAATCTCACCAGATCATTTGGTAACTCTGATAAATAGAAAGAGGATGCCCTTAGCAACTCATGGCTGCATAATCATAGTGACACAGAATCCAAATATTGTACTCCCCATCATCTTTTAAGGTAAATGTATTTCTCTAATGACTGACTTGGTCCTGAGAAATTTTAATTGTTTTTACTTAGCTTCCTACTATCCTTTTTGTAATTGCCTCTATATTGTTCAAGTTTACTCATTTCATAAATGCTGTGATTCCCAGAACAAGTTATTTTGTTGTGCCTCAGACCAAAATTTAGGAGTTCCCCTGAGACTGAGTTCCCCTTATCTCCAAATTGAACATGAGCATATAGAAGTATCATCTGTCTATCAAAAGATCCCGGCAGCAGTGGGGTTGATGGGATGAGTGACTATTTGCATTCCTAAACACATGTAATAGATGACCTATCTGTAGGTGTGAGCTCACCAGGCCAGCTCCACTTTGGAAAGCCGCTTTTCTTTTATATGCCAATATTATGTCAGGTAATTCAAGAACCAAGTTAATGGAAATGGTCTTTCCAATTACATTTTTTTAGAAGTAAAGTTCTTACTTTGAATACTGTTTAATGATTTTTCTGAAAATAAAATTACCTATGTAATACCTTAAAAGCACTTTTACTACTGTAAAAGTACATTAAACATATTGGCTCTAATAAGGTCCTCAGATATGTTTAAAATAGGTTATCCATTTAACCCCTATCAGGAAATTCTCACCAGAATTCCTAAAGGAAAGGGGAAAATACAAAAAGACAACCAACTAAACAACAACAAGAACAACAACAACAACAACAACAACAACAAAAGCACGTCTCTTCTTGCCATGCCTAGAGGACACTTTTTAGCACCATGTTCTTATTTTATTCATTCTTTGGCTTCGTTGTGTTGTATACTTGCTCTGCCTCAGTGATAGGCAAGTTCAGAAATGAAGAAGATGAAGATCTTAAAATCTATGAACTCGCAGTACAGTGAATGTATATTCTTTACTCAATTGAAGACCAGACCCTTCTCTACTATATTTTGAAATGATGACCAAGAATTTGAAACTGAGGAATGTTGTACCTATTTGTAATTAGCAACTAATTTGAATTTTAAAAGAAAGCTTGTAAAATAAATTTATTATTATTAGTTGGCAGTGAGTTCAGGGATTATAATTTCCTTAGTAACATTACTTCAACCCTTTTCAATGGATGTTTATTTCATTTTAGTCTTATTTCAAATCAAACCTGTATTTGAGACATGGATTAGAGTTTATTTCATGGGACATCTTTTAAAACTCTCATTGAATTTTTGTTAATCTTAGAATCATGATTTCACATGTGCTTTAACCTCTTTTTATCAATTCTTTTTATAATTTAAAATTCTATAATAAAAAATGTATTGATGGAGAGAAGAAAAGAAAACCTGCTTGTGGAATTGTTGCCTATATCGTCAAATTATAAAATTTAAAAATGTTCTGTAATTTTCATTTCAAAATTTGGAGATTTTTTCCCCAATATATCTAAATTGCATTTGTTATATGGATATATCAAGATTTATACATTATTAAGTACCAAATAATGTTAACCACAGATCAATCATCAGAATTCCAGATATAGTTTTGGAATATGTTAGGCATATTAAGGATTTCTTTTCTGATCTTTCTGAAAACATTCTAATTTGAACATTAATTCTTTAGTTGTATTATTCCATATTCTATTTTTGTCTCTTACTTTTCATTTTGACTGTTTAGAGTTTAATATTTCTCTTGATCTATGATTTTTGCTGAATAAATGTAATTTCTGTAGCATATAGAGAAGAAGTGCATGAATTGAAATACTACATGCATCTTTAAATACACAGTGGCTTATACCTGGAAAGTGTGATTCCAATCAATCATAGCCTCACTCCTCTTAGTGTTTCATTTGTTTCTTTTATCCTTCGTTTATAAATGCAATTAAATCACAAATATCCTAATCAGTCTCCTCAAACTTCTTGAACTAAGTCTTGTCCCTTATTCCCTCTCTTCCACTTATTTTTGTATCTATTTCCCCAACTTACAAGAAGAAAAATTCTAGACTTAAAAATCACAAAATTATTTTAGTAATTTTTAATTTACTAGATTTCTCTGCATTTTACACTGATGATCTTCATCTTCTTCTCAAAGTTCTTTCCTGATTTGGTTTCAAAGGCACCACAGTTAATTAATTTTACTCAATTATATTTCGACATGCTTTGGGCACAAGACACTATTTGATGTTATATGCCACTGGAGTTCCTTGGGTCTTAATCTTTCATTTCTGCTTTTCTCACATTATGTATTCCTCTTCAGCCTATCTGTCTACTGCCATTGTTTCAAAACTGACTATGCTGTGTGTGTGGTTCCCCCTTTAACCCAGACTAGCCTTTCCATCTGATGAGGAACATTTCCACCTAGATGTAGGGTAACAGCACTAAACTCTAGATTGAAAGCATCAACCCTTCCTTCTCTTCCTTTAACACAAACAGAGAAAATCCTCCTGGATTCTCTCAGGGTGCTGTCTCTATTCTGCAAGCTAGAAACATAAGTCATCCCCAAGTGCCGTAGTCCGGCTGGGCTAAATAACCAGGCGCCATCTCGACTTGTTTACATCCCCAACACCTAAGTCCTTTGGTCTTTTCACTTGCACCTTTAATCAGCCACCAACTCCTCCCCATCCCATACCTTTGAAGGCATTTCTTGTGTCCTTTGCCTGTGTCCTTAGTGATCATTTTGGTAGTTTAGTCCCTCACCTCTTACGTAGCCTAAAACTTGTTCCATGTTGAACAAGACCCCAGCTGAATAGCCTCCACGTAGCAAAAACATCTATTTAAAATACAAGTCTAGCAATTTCACAGTTTTTTTAAAACCATACAATAATTTACCACTCCATTTTTTAAAACATAGTCTTCTAAGTCTGGCTCTTTCTCTTAACTCTGTTGCCTCATGGTTTGTTCCGTAACTATTCAAATTTGTTTGTGGTTCCTTCTTTTATCACCCCTTAAAACTCATGCCATGCTTACCCCAGCCCTCAGTGCCCTAAACTACTGATCCATCCCAGAGGGTGACTACCACCTTCCAGAGTAGCACAAGGTGTCCCTCTTGTGTCCTCCTTTAAACTACTCTTTTTTTTACATGTCTTATTACACTTATCATATCATACAATACACATCTGTTTATGCATCTACTTCCTTCAGTAAATTGTGAGCTCAATGAAAATGGAAGTGTCTAATTCATCTTTTCTCTTCCTGCAGCTCCTAAAAGAGTGGGAATACTTTAGTAGGCATGTAATAATGGGCTTCTTGAATGAGTGAAGATCTTTCATTATTCACATTTTCCCCTCAAGTTGAATTTCACTATTGAATATTTTTATCTTTCAAGTGTTATTATAAAGATTGCAAACTAACCATAGCTTTTGAGATTCTCACTTGGAAATAAGAACTAGACTATTAATTTTACAAAATGGCAATACTGTATTCAAAAAGCATTTTGAAGAAGATATAATAAGAACTTAGAAAAATAAGTTCTTCAGAATAGAATAAGAGAAAAACATATGAGACCATTTGGAAGATGGTTTTAGCAGTTACTTTTTAATTTTTATAAGTGGTTTTTGATTATGGACTATATATATTACCAATTCAATGATACGCACTCTAGTTATTTATTATTGGTTTGTGTTCTAAAGACTTTTGTCACAGGTATATTTCCAAAATTTATATGAGCTAAAATTTGTCATTCTTTGCTGCTTAAAACAAATCCACAAAGCAAAAATGCAAGGGAATCAATGTTATAGCCAGTAGAAATATTGTAATACATAATGATGAAGCAGAAAGATAGTGACTTAATAATTATTTTAGGTAAGTTTTATTAATTCACTAATGTTTGGAGTCATCTAAAGATATTATGCGTGATCTAGCCTTGTATATTGGCAACTTTTTAGATCATTTTATAATGATTTTAGCTCCAGGTACTTTTTCAGCTTTGAAAATTAAAAGCTTAGAATATCTATATCTATCTATAATATGAATATATATACACAAATATATATATATATATATACATATATATATGTATATATATATACATATATATATGTATATATGTATATATATATTCATATGAATACAAATTCTTTGTTACAAATCAAATACCTGTAGGTAGAATCTTAATAATTTCCTGGAGCTATTCATCTTTGATGGGAAGAAAATAAGAGCAATTCAAGTACATTGGAAGATGGAAGAAATAATATTTCTATAGTAGCTTAAAATGAAGTTCTAGGGACTGTGTATTAGAATTCTGTGCAATTACATGTGTTTATTTAAATGTTCAAATCAGTGGGCTCTTTAGTTACCTGGGTCTGAGTTTATTCGTGTGCTTAATGGTGTTTCTTATTTATTTGTTATTGTTTCCATTCAATATTAGGGCCGAAAATGCTTTTTAAAAATCCTGTGTTTATTTGTATGTTATGGCACTGCTATTTTAAAAGAAATCATCAAAATAAACTACAGCATGATGAATTCAGTTTAAACTTTTTGAATAAATTAATATTTAAAGATAAATATGTTCTTAAAAACAGTCACAACAAAGAATTGAAATAATCCAATTATGTAAAGTATCCATAGGAATAACATTAAAGCATGTTAACTCATTTTCTGCCAAAATCAATCTTTAATGATCATCAAACATGAGGTTATTATAGTGTATTGAATTTCTCATGTTTCCTTTTTTATTGATTTTGATTTTTACTTACACTTAAGGCTGTTTAGAATAACTCATATACATGAAAACAATTATAGTGATTGAAATATAAAGTTATTCACCAAGACATATAATCATAAATGATGCAAATGAATTGAAGTATGTTTGGAAGTTAAACACAGAACCAGGATAAAAATTCCTTTACTGTGCCCACATTTCCTTGCCATTCCACTTAGGTGATTCTGGCAATTCATTCTGTGTATCCATCGAGGAATTTTCTTTTTGCTGGCTTTAAAGTCATGTTTCAAAAATTATGTGATAATTGAAATTAAGAGTTTGACACAGTCAGTACTTATCTGATTGTTTTTGTAAATGACTAATTTTTCTTTCCTTGTATTTTTTTTTTAATTCGCATCTTCTGCAGGTGCATAGGCTCAAGTATTGAAGACTGCATCGGCCTGATGGATAGGTACTTGGTGTGCTTGCTTCCCATGTTCTTCCTCCGAGGCTCCATGTGTGAGCACTGGTGCATGTGTGTGCATGTCACTGTGGATGGAGAATGATGTTTTCTGTTCTGTAATTGCCTGCAGGTGTAACGGTCCCACTAGTCATGACTGCATTTACTACCCATGGACGGGCCATTCCACTTTACCACAACATGCTAGGTAACATCTACCATGTTTCCATTTTATCACTCAAATCCTTTCCCAGTTATCATGGATAAAAAAAAATACTAACCAGTTAGATTAAAGTTATAATTATATATTAATTTAGTAAGTTGTGACAGATACTTGAAACACTTTTCTTTTCCAGCCACATTTCTTAACTCTTTTTCCTTCATTTACTATGACTTGAGTCCTAATGAGCATTATATACAATTTAAAAACAATTTTACTTATTATTCTAGAACTTTAACAGAATATGTTCAGATTGTATTATGTAAATACAAAAAGAAATATTTTAAACAAGGAATTTGCTAAATTGACCAATGTTTATGTTTGTTATATAATTTGAATTCAATTTCTGATTTTATATTATTTTGAACCAGTTGGTATATTCTCTAGGTAGCAGAATTACTATGAAAAAGGCAATATAAAAATATTTTGTATAGGTAAAAGTACAACTAGAATTATTATAAAACAAAATATATTACTCATGTTCATACAAAAATCTATATTTGAATGCTTATAGTGGTTTTAATCATGAGGACCAAAAACTAGAAATTTCTTAAATGTTCTTCATTTATGGCATATACTTCCATTTTAACACTATTAAGTAATAAAAAGGAATAGACTCCTGCTATACATTACATAGATGGATCTCAAATACATTATGCTAAATAAAAGAAGCCAAACTGGAAAGAATACATACTGTATGATTGCTTTTATTTGACATTCTGGAAGAGTAAAAACTATCAGGACAGAAAAATCAATCATTGTTGCCAGGGGCTAGAGGTTGGGAGATGACATTAACTACAGAAGAGCAAAAAGAAATTTGCAGGGATAATGGAATAATATGTATCTTGATTTGGGTACTGGTCACACAAGCAAAAGTGCTTGTCAAAAACTTTAGAACTGAATATTTTACCATATATAAATGATAGAAAGGCTGAATTTTACTCTATACTCAACAAACCTTAGTTTTGAAACATCTCATAGAATATTTCCTAAGGATAACTTTGCTATTTTATATATTATTATATTAGATATGATGCAGTATAGCTTTCGTATTATTGTATTATACGTAATATAAGATAGCTTATATTATCAGCTTTGTGAAACAAATTAATTACATCTAATTGCAAAAGAGAAAAGTAATGGTAAAATGCAATAGGCAAATGTGAATTTTGGATGAAGTAATGCCTAAACTCTTGTGTCAAAGTATAACATAAAAGTACACAAATATATAAGTTTAGAGGTCAGTGAATTTCTCAAAATGAAACATTTGTGTAACCAGCAGCCAGATCAAAAGAGAAAATAGTAATAGACTACCAGAAGCCCCCTTGTGCCCCTACACCACAGGTAACTACTGCCCTGAATACTAACATTTGTCTATTTTTTCACCTTATATAAACTAGTCATATAGTATTACTCTATACATCTGGCTTTTTTTTTGCTAACTCTTTTATTTATGAGATTCATCTATATCACTGACTTCAATCATAGTTTTTTCATTCAGACACCATTATCTTTAAATGTTTTTTTTTAAATTTAAAGTGATAAAATACAAGACATTCCTTGTTTTTTTAGTGAAGTAAATAGAGACATTGAAATCCTCGAAAAAAAGTATTAGAGTGAATGGATGTAAGCAATAGTGTCACTTTGGCACATGGGTACAATCGAGACTGATTTGTATAGTTAAGGTTAAAATTATGGGAAAAAAAAAAAGATGAAAGAAAGTGGAAGTGAAGGAAAAGGATAGGGAGGGGGAAAAATAGTCTGAAGTGCAGTTTTATGAGCCCAGGTCCATCTTGGATGGCTCCTATGTTCATTAAATAACTTTTCCTCTTTGAGACATTGGTTCATTCACTGCCCTGTCACACTGAAGAGTGTTTCCACGTTTGTTGTGGTTTTCTTATAATTATCCCAGTGGACAAGTGAGAGAATATAGAATGGTGGTGAAGTGTGCTGTCTCTGGAATCAGATGCTCTGAGTTCAGAGTTGAGCTCTAGCTTTTCAGGTGACTGTGGGCAAATTCCTTGAACTATCAGAGCGTCACTTTTTCTTTTTTTCATGCATGAAAGGATGGTATTAGTAAAGTTCACCAATTGCTTGAGAAGATTCAGTGTGTCCATAGAGCAGTGCCTGGTCAATAGAAATTGCTAAGTAAGTGTCATTATATTATTTTTCTATGGATCAAAGATTCTCAAACTTTGGGAATGGAAGAACATGCCTCCCAGAGGTGAAGAGGGAAGTCTCTCAAGGCTGGGGACCTTTTATGTGTGGTGCTACCCTTCTGATAGACTTCTTGAAGGAAGGGAGGACATTTCTGTCTTTTCCCTGAGAACCTTGGTCATTATGAGAGCCACTGGTACTGATGGCCGCAGGTCATAAGATGGTATAATGTCCCGAGGGGCAAACTTGCAACGTATGCAGTTGAGGGGGAGAAATAAAGAATGTTCATATGCTTCTGCCCTTTTCAATGCTTTATTCACTCAAATCACTCAATACAATTTCATTCTATAGGTTCTTAATCAAGAAAACGACCATCCTTAATGTTAGGCACTGCAATAGACAATCAATTCACAGCAAACAAGTCCAGATTAATTAATTCACAGCAAACAATTCTAGATTAATTCTAAGCACTGCAAACATGCTTAATCATGATAGGCTAATGACAGACATTCCCTCTGCGTACTAAGTTCAAAAGTCTCAAGTCTTGGGCTTTAAGTCCAGCAGATGCACATTCACTCAGACCTTGGTGATCAGGTCAGGAACCAAGGCAGGCTTCTCCTGGGGTGGAGATGATGGCCGGCTAAGAAGAGGGTTGTAGGGAGAAGTTGCAGCTCTCACCAGGGTCTAGAAGAGGTGGTAGAGTAAATCTATGTTTTGAACTTAGCTTTAAAGCAATGCAACTCTATTCTTCAATGATAATGACTTGCCAGAATTAATTGACTTGTCACAGACTGTTTATAAATCAGTTTGGAATTTACATGAAGGATTTAGCCTCTTTGGAAAAGTCTAAGACCATGGAGCATTTTGACACAGATTGGGTAACTAATGAGAATAAAAGGTATCTTTTTTTTCAGATCCTTAATGTTGCAGGGGATATTTACCCCTCTGTGATGGGTGTGTGTGCAGTTCACTGAAAACAGGGTACTAGTCTACTAAGATTTCAAGTCATTTTCCACTTTTAAATTCCATTATAGTTTTTTAAATAGCTCTTTCTTAATTGATTAAAGTGAATATTACATAATATGTGGGGGGGCCACGATTGAAATTAAGTGTTTTAAGTTTCATGAACCACATTTTAACTGGAAGATTATCCAAATGCCTAGCTACTTTGAGTCACAGAAAATTACATGGAGCATGGCAATTTGGCTATTTTGAGATATTTTGAGTTCATACTCCCTACTGCCCCATTATACTGTATTCACTTTCCTATACCAGCAGGGGGAAAAAAAAATTAAAGATTTAAATGAAAACAGGTGAAATGTTTCCAGTCTTGATCGACTTCCATTTTCTAAGCAGTGTTATTCTTTCCCAAGCCTGCAATTTGTGAATTGGTTTTCCACACTCCATTTACCTTACAGGCTGCTGCTGGAATTTCTTCCAGGAAAATTGGATAGGACAGAATAGAATTTTTTTTTTTTTTGCCTGTAGCCTCCCAGAATATGTTACCTACAATGAAAATAGTACCTGATACTTTAGAACCTATCCTTAACCTTCTGATTTGAATTAAAAGTGTAAAGATAGATTTTATTTTGATCAGCTTTTTTCCCATCCATACCTCCCTAATTTGAAGGCTTTCCTTCAAGTATCTTTTAAGTAACATGTACAATATTTTTACTATTCTTTTTTGTATGCCATTTATTTTAGCTTGTCCATGTGCTATTTTCATATAGACTTTAATAAAATAAAATATTCTATTTTATTCTATTTTGGATTGTCAAGTATATATGTCCAAAGCTTTTTAAAGTCCTAGTCTCTTGTTCCAGGAAGAACTAAGTTTCTTAATCTCGATAGGCAAAGGCTCTATTGGCAAAGCATTTCTGCATGTTAGTTAGCATTAAAAAAAAATGTGAACTAAGAATTTTTTCTAATTTATGAAAGAATCTATTAAAATGGCTAGATATTTGTTTTAGTATTTTTATCTGGCTTCTTTGTTCCAATTCAATTATTCTAGGTGCTTCAAAATATGAAGTATGGTAATTGAACTCAGTTTAACTCTAACTCTGCTATGCGCTACTGCTTGAAATATTTTATATCTTTGTCACATTTTAATGCCTGTGCCACTCTTTTACTTATGGTATAGTGGTTATTACCCAAGAGGTCACATAACAGTTTATCCTTTATCAGTGTGACCCATGTGTGAAATATGAGAACGATGATGTGACTTTCTTGGCACCACTTTCACAAATGGCACAATTATTTTTCTTTGTTTGTTTTGCCCTCAAGGAATGTAGTTCATAATTTATGTCCAAATCAAATGGTCAAATTCTCCCCTAGATGGTTACCTTAGATGAGTGGCAGTTGTATTATGATCCCTAAGTCCAATAAATAAAAGTGCACAGCCTTTTTATTATAAGTCTGTTCCCACATTCTCTATATTAAATTTACTTTTGAATTATTTGAGTTCGAAAGGTGAAGGAGACCATGTGAATCTCTTCCTTTCCAGATGATTTTGACCCACACTTCCCAGCACCCATAAAATTGCAAAATTGTCAGGGAATTATGAGAGAAGAGAAAAGCTTCACTGCTCAGTCATTGTTAATTCATTGAGTTCAAGTGGTTACTTTAAAGGGAGGTATTTAGTATCCCAAGGTTGTCCAAGTGGTTTTTGCATTGATATAAAAATACTCATACTTTATACTAAAGCTTTTGAAATCCTAGAAACATTAATGTTATACTCAAGCTCACTGTCAAATGTGACTAAAATAATCCATACATAGAGGTTTTTATGATCATTGAATTGGGGACTAAAATATAAAATCTAAAGAGGCCAT